GTCACTTTCTTTCTCAGAGTGAGACGTTCAATCTCATGTCTGTGTTCAGCTGAAGTGAGGATGTGGTTAGCCTAGCTTAGCATAAAGACTGGAAGCAGGTTGAAACAGCTAGCCTGGGTTTGTCCAAAATTATAAAATATGCTTTCAAAAACCTGGGACCAAACGTGTTAACCAACACCATAAGTTACAATTGATGTTAGACCTTGAACGATTTGTAGACACAGACACAGAAAAACAAATGAAAAAGAGGAAGAAATCTTCCTCTCAAGGAATTAAACATCGTCGCAGACTCACTGTGGAGGTGTGCTCGTAAACGTTCTCATACAGGTCTTCCTCCGTCCCAGCTGGCTCATACAGTTCATCCCGAGCGGGAGTTTGTTCTGTACAAATAGTATTGCAAGTTAAAAGTACCTTAAATCTGTATTCACCTACAGTTATTGAAAGAGATATTAGAGGTTTTGTTATTGTCCTTATACCTGGAGGAGCTTCATATGCATCATCATCAAACTCATCCGACCACTCCTCCTCTTCTGTGTAAACGGTGTCTGTGGATCAGTGACAGAAACAGAAACACTGGACCTTTAAATTCCAGGGACATTATTTTTACACCCTAAAGAGTTCTTTCAGCTGAAGAGTGACTGGAAAGGGGGGAGAGAGAGAGAGAGTCTGACCTGCAGCTGGAACAGGTGAGCCTGCTCTCTGGTCTGTCTCTGGTGGTGCTGGGGAGACAGCTGCAACAGGTGAGTAAGACAGCACAGGTGAGACAGGTGAGACAGGAGACAGGGGGTTCACGGAGGAGGCCGGGACCACAGCCGGAGCTGGAGTATACTGAGGCTGCTCCGGGCTCTCCCTCTCAGAGGATTTCTGAGACAGAAACGGACTCTGGAGCTTCCCTGTGAGTGAAAACAGGAATGTAATGAGTTATATTATTATTATTATTATTATTATTATTATTAATGGATGAGTGTGCTGGTCACCAGGTCTGGATGCAGCAGGAGACGATCTGTCGCTGGCCTCGAAGCTCTGCTCCCTCTGTTTAAATACGTCTCTGGGATTGAACGATCGCTGAGAAATCAGTGATTTGGCCTCCTGTGAAAGACAATGAGAGCTTAAAGAGACATAAAGTATTTGTGGCTGGTTTGGGTTCAGCTAAAAACATATCCCATAATGCAACTCAGTACAGCTTCTTTCATTAACTTACTTTCTGCCAATCTTTGTAACTTTAATGTAATGGAATTAAATAATTGATTTATATTTCCATGTAAGTGTCTGTGTACGTTTCCAGTCACACTCACATTCGCTTTCTGCACTGATGCTGCGAAGTTGATTCCCGTCTTCTTGTTTCCGTTTTCCTGCTGGTTCTAAAACAGACACATGGCGTTATCTGTACATTGTTTTTATAATAATATCTTAAAGTAAACACCATTGAAAAAAATAATAATGGTTTATTACAAATATTATTCAGTTCTCTATTAACCCTCAGTTAATTTGATCATTGAGGTTTTTGTTTGATGCCGTTTAGACAACTGCCTCTCCCTCTTTGTCTATCTGATGTCGGGTTCAGTCTACAATGTTTCTGTCTGTTAATATTCTCATTATAGAGACAGAAGTTGGTCCCTCGCACGTTTTTGCTCTGTGCTCCAATGACAGTTGAGCAATCCTCGGGTCAGAGCTAGCGTTTTGCTAACATTAGCTTTCAGATTTAATTAGTTGGCTAACGATTGATTTAAATGAGACACATTCCTTCCTGATGCATGGAGCAGAAAGATGCCGAGCTATGATTGGTCGGGGACCATCGTGTAGTCTTTATGACTGCAATCTGACACAATGACAATCTAAACTATAGCCGTTACCGTAAACGCCTCCGATACTAGATAAAATGCTGATCGGGTATCAGCGAGTATGCAAGTCTCTGCACCGATCTAATGTGGCGGAATTTATAAGCCCTGATTTTGCTTGCTCATGGTGGAACTGTTGGTTCTCTGTAAATGTAATAAGGAGTTCGGTCTAGACCTGCTCTATTTGAAAAGTGTCCTGAGCTAACTTCTGTTATGAATTGGCGCTATAGAAATAAAATTGAATTGA